GCTGAAAGCTCTGGGGACCCTCTTGGTATCTGAATGATCTGAATGTGGAGAGACCAGAACAGGTGACAACAAGAGTGTAATTTGCCATGTCGAGTCCTTGGCAGACGGTGATGTGAGAAGGGAAGCAGCTCATTTTTTTTCCCCCTTCGAGTCCGGCTTGAGTTGGCAAGGTTGGCAGTCAGAGGAAAGCTTGTTTAAATTAAGTATGTGCGATTCAGAAGGCATTGAGACAGTTATTGTGTGTTCCCGTGGTTGGGAAAGGTGCGTTTTAAGTTCTTACCATAAAATGTTCTGGGATTAAAACAAATGCAAGAAGATTTTCCATGTGCAGGTTGTTTGCTTTGTGCACAGTGTCTAAGATTTGGAAACGCATGCATGCATCCCCTTCTCCTTCTCCTCCCCCTCCACGTGCACACAGTAGGTTGCAATATTTGCTTTATGTGCTTACCTGGCAGGGGAAATACAATGACCCCCAAGGTGGTTTTCCTACTGGAAAACCGAAGTAATGCATCATTAGCCTCCCACTTTTTCTTCCAGTGGGAAGATCTCGGCTATATGCCAACTTTGTGGAAACAGGAGACTCCTCCCTGGCTTGCTTCTGCGACCCTATGGCCAAGGGCAAGCAGAATTTGGGGGCATCCAAACCCTAAGCCTCTGGGCTTGGGCCTGCACATAAGATACCTGCCAAAGGATTTGGAAGCATCTGAAGTCCCAGGCGGGGGTAGAGGATGCTTGCTGGAAGCAGTGCCACATACGGGTCTTGAATGACTCACGGATTTGGAATTGATTTGGCTGATTTGACTTGGGGGACAGAAAATTTCCCTTTAAAAATTAAACAAAATCCTACCAGCAGGTTCTCCTGGGATCCTCTAAAACAGCAGTTCTCAACCTTTTTTGTACCAGGGCCCATTTGTAAACCTTGATAACCAGTGCCCCTCACTCCCGCCCCAGTGTGTGGGCCAGGCAGTAAGCAGCTCCTCACAGGCTGCAATGTTGCATGTTTCTCCTTTTAAAGGAGAATCCATTTTTAAAGTTTGTTAAGCTTTCATAGATTCTTGCAACTCAGGGGTTGAGAAACACTGAACTAGACCTCCTGAGGTCCCTTCCAGCCCTAACTTTCTGATTCTATGATGACAACTTCCGAAGACTTCCGGCATCCTAAGGGCCACGATCTTTCCATTCAGGTGCAGGAACAGCTGCAGAGATTGATACTCTGCTGACAACCTCCTTCTGTCTTCACGGCTCATGACAGCCGACAGGAAGTGGTTGTTATGCACTGAGCTGTTATCAGGCACCCTCAGAAATGACTGTAAGTTCTGTCTTTGGTAACACCACACGTTCCCCCGGAGGGGTGCACCACTCCTGGAAGTATTGCAATACCAGGTTGATGCATGGAGGGGATAGAGCAAGCCCCATTTCCACCTCCTAGGACCAAAAATGTGCTTAATACACAGCCTCCAATGGAGGACGTATCAGATATTACAGCTGATAAGAACAGGAACTACACTTGATCTGGGCCAAGAGGCCGAGAAGCGATACCCTGAACTTTTCCCAAACACCGGTGCCCCCAGGTCTAGCCTCCTTTGGGTCACTGCAAGCTAAGCCACGAGGGCCTCCGTGCTCACAGTCCTCACCAGCAGCCTCTAGCTTCAAAACCCAGCACAAAATCTCTCCCCACATGTCTCCTGCCCCGTCGACTCAAGGCACTGGTTTCTGCCCTGTTTGTACAACCCAAACCCCCTATTTATGCCCCCTCAATTCTTCCCTGTCTCTCCCTGCCTCCTTGCCAGCTGCAAGACAGCGGCTTGAAATTTGCATAACACTATGCACTATGGGTGAGGATGATGTCATTGCACATTAACCCTCTCCTCTCCAGCGTTCCTCCAGCCCTGCTCTTTCAGCAGCAACCAGTCTTAGTGCAGTGGTTTGCCAGGACCCGTTTGGAAACATTGATGGCCACTCCCAAGCCACAGACCCCTGGCCCTGCTGGTGCCCCTCACTCCCAACCTGCAGCCCCCTGCCCCCACCGCTCTGCTAGAGGGGGTCCTCAGCTGCTCCCCCACCCCCTTTGGGCCAGTGTGCTGTGGCTGCAGCAGTTCCAGCTCATGCAGGAGACAGCGCAGTGAGTCCAGCCCGGTAGGGGCTGGAGGGAGGAGGAGGGGAGGCCTGTGGCACGCCCCCTGCCCTGGTCATGGCCCTACCTGCCCCCCCAAGCAGCATCTCCTGGGCACCCTGCCCCTGTTTATATGGACATCGGCCCCAGTGCCGCCAGCCCGGCAATGCAGCTCCTGAAGGACCTTGCCCCCTGCTCCCTCTGCCCTGATGCAGCCTCACTGCCCTGTCACCTTTCCCCAGTGCTGGCACCTGCCCCCCTCTTACATCCCCTACACACGGACATGGACAGTCCCCAAGCCCTGGGCCTACAACCCACACTCCCCATACACTTACTGCATCCAGCTGCTGGGACTGCTTCCACAACCCTGCCTGGCTGCATGCCGGCCAGCTGTGCGCGCGCGCGTAGATGGACATGCACCCACTGCCTCCATTCGCCTTAAGCAGCTCCTTGCAGGCTGGAAGGCTGCCTACCTGCACGGGGAAACCCATGCTTTCCCAGGTTTTTCTGGGACTTGCTTGCAACCCTTTGAAATATTCTTGCGACCTACTTTTGGGTCAGGACCCACTGGTTGAGAAACACTGCTCTAAAAGAGCAAGTTCAGTTGCAGCTTCAAAGCCACAGTTTAAGTTTACTGCTCCAAGTAAAGGTTTAACTGTCTGACTCGAGCTGTGAGTCATAAATAACTGATAACAGTTTATAACTGTAAGCGAAAGGCTGGCATACCTGCCCTCAGGAAACACTAGAAAAGATGGGAGAGGGGAGAACTCCCCCATACTATAGCACAGGCTCTTCTGCTGTGTAATCTGGTCCTTTTGAGCGCAGTAATTTTGTCTATGGACCAGCTTCTGATGACACTGAAGACTCCCAGATATTCCAGCAATAAAATCTTTTTTATGACTGCTGGTCAGGACTCTGCAAGATTTGCAGAGGGTGACTCTATACTAATAAATACACAGTAGAAATACACAATACAAAATGAGGGGACTTAGCCAAACAGCTGCTTTCATCATATTACACAGAGCATTTTGGCTCATTTCCCTGCTTCCGTGAAGCCAACCGCTATAGTTGCTATAAGGAAGGTCAGGGACAGGGAAGGGAAAGTGTCTGCAAGACGGTGTTTCCTTTTAAGACTTATAAATGTCCAAGAGCATTTCAAGGTCAAAACACTGGACTCCGTATCAGAATAATGAACCCTGATCTTCCAGGGTGTGATTGCAAGCTAACCTGACAATACACTAGGCATTTGAACTTTTTTATGTTGCAAATGAAGTCAGGCACGCCAAGTTCTATATGAACGAACACCCTCTTTATATACAGAAGTCCTGTACAGGGGCTTATCAGGGTGCTATAATCTCTTTTATGGACGCTGAAAATAATGCTCCCTGTTATTCCAAAAGGCCCAGCCATTTATCAGCTAGCAGAAATTGGTCAGTTTGGTTTAAAACAATGTACTTCAGTGCCTCTGAGGAGTGAGACCAAAACATTCATCGTAGGACCTGCCAAGTGCGTCTGATCCTTACAGGCTGGAAACAGCCAGCTTCTCAAACAGCATCCCAAGCACCTGGCCAAAAAGGGCATTCTGTACCCCCCGAAATTGCTGGATAATGATTAAAGCTAGAATGGATACATCTAAAAAAGTCTCCAGCCTTGTCTGCAGAAATACTCTTCAGGGCAGGGATTCTTGCTCTGTGTTTGGAGAACTCCCAACACGTGGTGTACACAGCTGCTTTGTGCCACGCTTGCTAGCAAAGTCCTTGGGAGCTGCCTGTGGGTAGCGATTTTAACAACGAGGCCTGCAGCCCTTCAGACGCATACACCACTTGTTATCTTGTGTCTCTAATTAGAGAATTACCCCAGTGCCCTTGAGCATTCAGTTGCTTCCCTGAGCACACAGGCCTGGATTTGAGTCCCATGACTTAGATGCTTATGTGAATTTTGTGCCTTTAATCCCTCTGCTCAGCCCTGATCATTTATAAGGATCCGTCTCAATCCCACAGTTGACTTTGTGGGGGATGGACTGAAATGGAGTCTGTTGAAAAACGGCCTCTCTTGACACTTCATTTCTTCTGCATATCTATAAAATGCATTCAGACCTTGAAATTAGGATGCACTTCCGCTTTGGGAAGATAACTCATTTTTAAAAGAAAAGATACCGGCTGCGTTCCTTCCTGCTCAGGTCTGTACGCGTACACAGAGCCTCTCGCGTTAGGGTTTTCCTTATGCCTTCTGAGTCACGTATCGATTCAAGATTAGAGGTTTGGAGCCTTCAGTTGATCTCAGCAGGGTTTTAGCGATGTCATTTCAGCCCATAGAAACAGTGACTTCTGGCCAGGTAACCTAACTGGCTTTATGCAAAATCTGGGGGGTGGAAAGGTCCCAGTGATGTGGCAGACACCTGCCGTATGTACACAGCTTTATTGCTCTGCAGCGAGGGTGTTGGCAGGGGAGGAGCAGTGACCTGACTCGGGCATACCTGGTCTTCTTGGATCTCAGTGCATTTTGTAATCCCACTTCCGGTTATCATTTAAAGTCCCCCCGGTATAGGGCTAGATCCTCAGCCCATCTATCGCTTGGCCGTTAAATGACTCTCTCCTCCCTTTGCTCTGCTAATCTGCCTCCCTGAGATGCTAATTAACAAGAGGTGAGATTCACTCCTCTGGGACCAGCACGAACAGGGAGTAATTCGATTCACATCTGATGTGGAGTAATTGTTTTTCTGAGGGCGGTGTTACTGCCAGGATCTTTTTAAAACAGGGGAAGAAGCAGAGCGCTCGCTTGTTAACCTCTGTGTGCACTGGAGACAGTGCCATTTAGCTTTATTAGAAGAGTCAAGGTTTCTAGGTCTCTTCCACCTTTAACTGTTGTCCAACCCTGTTGGTTGCAGGTTATTTGCCAAACAACATCCATGCGGTGGAAGCAATGTTGGCTGCTGCAAGTATCGGTGCCATTTGGAGTTCGACTTCACCCGACTTTGGAATTAATGTAAGTAGAATTGCCCGTTCCAATCATGAACTTGCCTGGTGTAGAAGGGAAGGGCATTGGACGTGTTTTATAATCCCGATTCTTTTTTCCTTTGTTAGCAGGGAGGTAGTTAGTCCTTTTAGTCTGAAGTCAGAGTAGATTTGCACCGTAAAGACTAATTAAATCAGAGGTGTGTACCATCAGCTTTTGTAAGCGGGAGGCTTTTGTAAGCAGATGCATCTGATGAAGTAAGCTGTCTGCTTACTAAAACTTATGCTATCCATTTCTGATTTGGTTAGTTTATAAGGTGCAACCCTCCCCTGCCTCTTCTGCCTTTCCTTCTATTGCCATCTTGTGGCAAAATTTAGAAAACTCCTGGCTGCAGGCAGGTTTATGATTTTTTTTTTTTCAAAGTTGCCAAGCGATTTGGAAGGACAGTTTCCATTAATTTTAATGAGAATGAGGTGTCCAAAAGCTGAAGCTGGTTCTGTTCAATTCCAAATCAAGGCCAGGTGAGTAACGTTAAACACTTGTTGCCACCAGGTGATTCTTCCTGTATTAAATCAATTGGATCACGGTTTGCTTCCTAGTTGGGGGGGTATAGAAAAATGTACATCGCAACAGATGAAAAATGGCACACCTCTTGAGAGGCCAGGGATTGAATTAGGCAAGGGCAGCAATGGTTGCCTTGGTGTAAAGGTGGCCTCTAGGGCATGGTTGAAGCATAAGAAGCATTGCAACATGTGTGAGGGATTCCTTCCTGACCTCTGTTGGCAATCCATGTCTGCTGTGGAGCAAAGAAACTGTAGGTCTAACTCTCCTTTGGATTATACAGAGCTATTAGCCTGGAATAATTTCAGCCACACGTAAGGTTTAACAGGCTTTTCACCATAAGAAAAAATATCTAGTCTCTTACTTCCCTCCTTTTCCTCCCCTCAATCTTTCTGGTAAGATGCTGGATGGGGCTAAGATCTGTCAACCTTTCTTCTGTGAAAAGGAACATCAGCCCCTGTAATAGGATAATGTGGGAATTCTGCATGGGAGTGTCTCCATGGATAAGAGCTGCTTCTCTTCCAGACCGCTGACATTTGAGCGATAATGCCAGGCGCTCTGCAGTTAAAATAGCGGGGATTCATCTTCAGCAAGGCGAAGCTTTAGATGATCAAGCCTCACTGGGTTACTGCAGACACATTTTTGGTTGCATCTTCCTGTTGCTTCACTGTCATAAGATCCTGAAGGTTATGTGAAATCTCCAAACAGCATACTTCTACATGGATTAAACATTCAGGGTTTGAATAGCACCTGTGTGTTTGGGCAAATGAAGGTGCTGCCTACAAAACGTAAGAGGGCTCCACCTAGATAACAGAGTGCTCTCTGGCAGCTTTCGGCATAACTTCTCTATTTAGGAAGCACCTGGCATGTCATAATTAGTGCCAGATACAAATTGCTAAAGCACATAATACTGGAATATAAAATCCTCCTTCATTTCTTTCTTACAGGCATTCGGATTTGTAAGCATTTCAAGGCATCTCTCTTGCTATGTATTTATATTGTGCAAAGCACAGAAAGGTCAAAGCGGTTTGAAACATTTAGCTGATGTTTTATATTAAGAAGAGTCTTTGTAGTTGGCTGAAAGTAGAGACCTGTTGTATTGCCGAGTGAGCACTGGAGGGCAGCATGATGCTATTCTCCTACACGCGAGACTACATTATTGACAAAACCTTAATGATACTGGGGGGGAAGACTTTACACCTTGTAATGACCAATCTGCTCTACAAATGTTTTTTGCTGGGTCAGAAAATGACAGTACAGAACATTCTCCTTGCAGTGTGATTTGATTTTTCATTTGGGGCAAGATTGTTCATTTTACTCCTATTACAGAGTACAAATATGTTTCTCCCCGCGCCGATGTGCTGTTATTTTCGCTACCCAGGCTCATTAAATTTTTGTGATAGCTTTTTAACCAAGCTTAGCTTCAGAGTGGGGGTGCCATCAATATCATTTACACTCCTTTTTTTAGAGGCTGGCTGGCCTGAATTCAGGGCCACATTAGAAAGCTCTCAGTGGACTTGAGAGAGACCCCTGATGTATCAGCTTCCAGCCTGATGGACAGGTCATCTTCTTTTATGTGCTGGTATAACTCCTGTTAACATAAATGCAGATTCCATGTGTGGGTCAGGGGGTGCTGAGTGACTTACAGGGTTCAACACGCTTCTGTTTTGTATCCTATCCAAATGGAAGTGGTTGCTTTGCAAAGTTTAGGATTTCTCTTGCACTGCTCGGAACAGCCTTCTGCATGCCATGGATTTTAAGTCTTTTATGTAAGCCTGGAAGAAATCAGTTGCCAGAGGTAAATGGAAGAGGGAACTTGGTGGTTCCCTGTTATGGTGAACCTTGGTGCTGGGAGCCCTTTCCCCTCGTCTCTGGGCCTCCTGTGCCCAAAGGGTACAACTGCAGGAAGAAGGGTTCACTATTGCCCAAGTGTAAGCAGCTGTTTGAAATGCAAGCTTTAGGTTCAGGTTCTGCTCTTGAGAACGAGGTGGATGGACCCTTGCAGGGAGCATGTTTATAATCAAGGGGATTGTACATCTGGGTCTAAGAGAATACAGCTGAGTCCTAGCACAACCTGAGCTTTGAAGAGATCTGATACATGCTGAGCCATTTTGTTGGATCCAAGAGCCAGCGTTACAACTGAGGTGACCTCCATCAGTTTGTAGTCTGATCACTCAAAGCTTGCCCTATTGCTGCTAATGAATCCAGCCTGGGGTGGTGGCAGTCCCCATTAAAGAGTGCCAGGATCAAGGTTGTCTCTCCTTGGTTGCAAAATTCTTCTCTTCCTTTTCCCCATCTCTTTCCCCCACAGAATAGGGACATCCTTGCTAGTTTGCCAGCTAGTTTTTGGAACTTGAAAGCGGTCTTGTTTCAGTATGGCCTTCAGCCTGCAAGCACAACAGCCTTTGAAGCATGTGCGCCCCTCACTTTGACATTTGGGCAGTTCCTGGAAAATGCTGCAAGCAAATCGATAAGACGGCAGACTTGTTGGAGGCAGGTGGAAATATGACTTGTGCTCCCTTTAGAGGCTAATTTTAACGTTGTAATTAAATCACCATGCTAGAGTCTGGGACTTTTGTGACAGCTGATATTGTAGATACTGGTTTCCTGAAAAATCTGTTCCCTGTCACTGGAATGGACACTAGGGATTTCTCGACTAATTAATACATTTAGATTTCAGACTTCGACACTACTGTTTCCTTTTCCCTTCCTTGCTCCATCTCTGGAGAAATGCACTTTGGTGCTCTTCTGTAGTTTGCAGACGGCTTTCCTGTAGCTGGTAACTTGGAGAGCTGCTGCATGGCATGGAATATGAGATAGCATAAGACTCTGTCTCCTGGGTATCAGAGAAATATGTGAAGGGAGGGAGAAATGTTTCTTGGCCAAAATTTAGGAGGAGTGAATGTTTGCAAAACTCAGAGCAGTATGTGATGCCAACTAGGAAGAAATTCTCCCTGGATCGGAGAGCTGGCCTAGATTCATAGATGTTAGGGTCAGAAGGGACCTCAATAGATCATCGAGTCCGACCCCCTGCATAGGCAGGAAAG